AGAAAAGGTCCCCACTCCCCTACAGACCCCAGGCATCCCTATCTTACACCTGGTGTTGGGAGGGGGCAGAGGGCCCTCTCAGTGCAGCTGGGCATTGTGGGTAACTCCCTCCCTTTCTCTCACCCCCAGGTGAACAGGAGCTTTCAGCTGTGCCCCCCAGAAGTGCCACCCCTATCTGGGAGGGAGGTAAGGGGGGCTACTGGGTCAGGAGTGAGGGGCACCACTGTGGGGGGAGCTATGGGTTGAAAGTGAGGGGCACCGCTGTGGCAGGGGTCATGCTTTTGGGGAGTCCCCTCCCTGGGGTGCCCCCCTAATTCCCTGCTCCCCCAGACACAGACCCAGAGGACCCCCAGTGCCCACCCTAGCCCTGTGCCGAGATCCCCTGGTGCCACCAGAGGAGGAGGAGGAGGAGGTTGAGGCCCCCCAGGTCTTGGAGATACTGTGAGTGCTGGGGGCGTGGGGGCAGGGCAGGGTCTGTGCACCCTCCCCCAACACTCCCTATGTATGTCTCAGGGTCCGTCCCATGTCCCTGTCGCCACCCCCCCAGCCCCAGCCTGGGCCCCCCTGCTGGTGCCGTGGCTGCATGCAGTGCACCATCGGGTGAGTGGGTTGCGGCTGCAGAGGGAGGAGTGGGGGTCCAGGGAGTGGTTTGGGGGGCTGTGAGGGGGTCTCGGGGCTCTGGGTCAGCCACAGGGGTGGGTCTGGGGACCAGAGCATCACCAACAGTGAGGGTAGGAAGGGACCCCAGGGGGTCATATCCAGTTCAAAGAAGGACCAGCCCCAAGTGCATCATCCCGGCCAGGGCTTTGTCTACCAAGGATGGAGCCTTCAGCATTGCTGTGGGGAGCCTGTGCCAGTGCTCCCCCACCCTCCTTTGGAGAAAGTTCTTCCTCATATCCAACCTCAACTTGCTTTACTGCAGCTTGCGCCCACTGATACTTGTCCTGTCATCTGCCCTCACTGAGAACAGTGCCCTTTGCAACCCCCCAAGTCCCTTTCTGCAGAGCTGCTGCCCAGCCTGTTGGCCCCCAGCCTGCCTCGGTGCAGGGGACTGTTCCTTCCCAAGTGCAGGACTTTGTTGAACCTCATGGGATCCCTTTTACCCCAATCCTCCGACGTGTCCAGGTCTCTCTGAACCACAGCCCAACCCTCCAGTGTCTCTACGACTCCCCCCAGCTTGGGGTCATCTGCACACTGTTTGGGGTGCATCAGTGCCATCTTCCAGGCTGGTGATGAAAATATTGAACAAAACCGACCCCCCAGGGCACTCCACTTGGTACCAGCTGCCAACTGGACACAGAGCCACTAATTCCTACCCTCTGAGCCCAGTTCTCTATCCCCCTTCCAGTCCATTCATCCAGCCCGCACTTCCTTATCTTGCCTGCGAGAACGTAGGAGACCGTATCCAAGCCTTGCTAAAATCAAGGTGCGCCACATCCCCCGGCCTCCCCACATCCACGTGCCAGTC